GAGTCGGCGGGACCCAGCCGGAGTGACGAGCCAGGGTGACCCTGAGCTTGACCCCAGCCCACAGCACCCCAGACAGGAAGGGGACGCAATTGGCTTCAGCTGTGACTCTTAGCCCCTCTCTCATGCCTGCCCCCCTTCTCATTAAGACAAATTGTTTTGAAAGGCAAAGCAGCTTTCACTACCACTAAAGCCAACAACCTGCAGCACGGAGAGACGTGATGGGGTGAGGGGGAAAGATGGAGGGGAAGGTAAAAGAACAAGACACAAATGGGAGCTAGAACAACAGGGTTGCAGAGGAAGTATTTAAAAAAAAGATCAAGGTGAAAAGAGGCAGATTGCAAAAAAATCAAGACTTAGGGGACAGGGGAAAGTCAGGCCTATCACATGCAGCTGTTACAGGCTTAGTTTCCCACAATTCATTGCAACTTGGCATGGTTTTTCTAATAAGAATGGGTGGTGTCATACATTCATATCAAAACATCCAAAGCAACAGCTTTGAAATGACAAAAGACAGAGAGAGAAAGGAGTAGAGTTCAAGTTGCTTAATACTAATGGCAGTTACACTGAGGACGCACTTGTCTTGGAGACAAACTGCTGAGTGCACAAAAAACATATTTGTTTAGGGCTAGACAGTAAAAACATATGGAAATGATTGTTTCATTACCAAAAAAAAAAGATTTCCATTTTTTATTTTGCTTGCCTCTGCTTTCATCATTCTGCCTAATTCATGAACCCACATTACTTTTCCAATTTATTCATAACAGCGTGTGTTGTTTAGACTCAGTGGAAACTTTGTGTAGCCTATGTGTCTGTCAGATCGCCTGCTTTAGGTCATAGTGTGCACAAAACCACTAAAAACATATTTCATGCCAAGCGACCTGCAATGGCCAAAAATTTAAACTAAAGGAAACAAACTATACAAATCTGTGTGGGAGTGTGTATGTGTGTAAGTAGAGTGGCAGGGCATGCTGAGGTAGATTAATAACATTGCTGGGCAGCGGGAAATCCTCCATTCAGGGCTGACTGATGTGCATCCCAAATTGATTTATGAAAACGGCCCTTAATCAATTATGTGTGGAGAAAGAGGGAGAGAGCAAAAAGGAATGGAGAAGAAAGAAAAGACCTGAGGCGGGGGGTCTAGAGTGGCAAATAAAAAGGGCAGAGAGGATGAAGCTGCAGAGGGAGAAGTGTGTGAATGATCCTGAGGAATGTCTCTAATGGATGCCACAGGTGTCCAACATGGTGGATGTGATGGTTTGTCAAGTAAAATAGAACCCTCTGTGGCTGATTCTGATGTATGCAACCGATTCTTCAGGCAACACACTGGGCATGATCGATCTATAGCATTTATCTTCATCTGCAGCATTCATAAAACATGCAAAGAACTTGTGAAATAGTGGTGTGCTGATAGATTGGGGGTTGTCAATAAAAAGAAAGGAGGTAAAAGTTACAAAATGCACACATGGTCCATCCTAACTGTGTTTGGATAGATACTAAATGTTGCATTCATGCAGCAGTGTAATGTGGTTTTTGTCGTATTAATGGCACAGTTTTCAGCTAGGGGAGCAACAGAGTAAAGAGAAGCTGCAGTTGTTTAAAAAGACCTTCCCCTGCCCTTACCCATTGTGCCTGAGACAGGGGTGTATGGGGAAGGTGGGGGGATCACGCCGAGAGCTTGTTTCTCCTGTCTGTCAGAACTCTATCTGGGATCCAGCCGGAACTAATCAACTCCAATAAGCCTCCCCATTACCCATGGTGCAATGGGCCACGGGCTGGGGGCTGGCCGGTGGGAAACAGAGAGAAGGAGAAGGGACAGACCCCCCCCACCACACACTACCTCTTCACACACACTCCATACTCCACCAGCCCATGCAGCACACACAACACTCCCACTGTTTCACACTGAAGCAATAATAAACACTTGCAATAATATTTTCACAGCAAGCAATAGCCTGCTTCAGATCAGAACCTCGCACAGCTGTGAGCACCCACTCACATGTACACACAGTATACACAGCTTCCTCATTACACACATCACACCATGCTCCAAATTGGAGACATTTTAAAGGTACTTTTGGCAAGAATTCTTCAGAATTTATTTTAAAAAGTGGCTCACACACATTTGAACAAACATCAGCTGCATCAAAACAAACATACTACAATATAGAGACTAAAATATATTGCATGTTTATGATGTTTTGCTGGCTCATGTGGTAATTTAGCCACTAATGTATCACAGTAATGCTGATAATTACATTTCATCCGATTTATTTTAATGCTTCTTTATTTTTGTCATATTAAAAGTTAGGAATAATACATTGTGTACTTGCTGTACCACTGTGCTACCATTACTTTTCTTTTTTATTAAAAACCATCAGATCTTGTTGGTCTTGATACTGATGCTGTCATGTTTTGCAGTCTTGCTATGTGTTTGAATATTTGTTAAATATTAAAAAGAAATAAAGTTGAGAAAATTCATAGACTACATACTACACCACTAGATCAGCTACTCAAGACCTGAATTTAAAATTTGCAGCACAATAATACTGCCCCCTAACGGCATTAGAACCACACTGCACCCTTTAAGGGAAAGTAAAATTAGATAAAATTACATGACCTCTCCAAACATCTATAAATAAATAAAAAAATAAAAATAAAACTTTATTTACCCGAGAAACACAAGAACTTGAAATTACTTTGCAGAAGGAATAGAAATAGAAATAAACTTGTTCCTAGCAATGCCTTTCTCACTACTGGACACTAACAGAGGCAACAGTACAAGCCAGCGTGTGAGTGTGTGCACAAGTTTAGTGGTTTACTGAGTGACTTTAGCCTCTTTCACTGAGGTTAAGGTGATATATGATATATATGCAGGCTTAACATGCTCCAGTGTCACTTTGCTCCAGCCACACTTCCTATTCAGGAATAAGCAGTATAGATAATGGAGGGATGAGTCACACGGAGGCGGAGTGACAGGATACACCCTGGACAGGTCGCCAGTCTATCACAGGGCTGGCACGTAGACAAACAAGTACTCACACTCACTCCTATGGGCAATTTAGAATCACCAGTCATCGTAAGCTGCATGTCTTTGGACCCAGGGAGAACCCACGCAGGCACATGGAGAACATGCAAACTCAACACAGAAAGGCCTTCTTGCTGTGAGGCGACAGCGCTAACCACTGCACCACTGTGCTGCCCCTCCAGCCACATGTTTTATTCCTTATACAAAACTGAAAAAGTCCAAGCTTAGTCAATGTCTGTTTCGATCCTTTCCTCCACCCTAACATGCATGATGCACTTGTGTGTGTGAGCAGTAGAAGTGGTGTGTTGAAGCTGCTCAGACAAAGGTGGTGGTGTTGCAGGACGTTCACATGAAAACTTTCCCCAGGCCCTGTGGTGGTGGCGGTCGGGATTGAGAGGCGGTGGTGTGGGGTTAATCCCCATTCACCCTGTCCTTCATTTGGCCAGGCTTGGCACAATAAGCCTCGCCTGCCTCCCCTGTGTCTCCACAGTGACCTCTGACCCACCATTTACAGCTGCTTTCCCTGGCCCCTTTATGCCTCCATCCTGTTATTATCCTCTACATTTACTCCTTTTGATGTCCCTGCTGGCCATTGTCATCGCCCACACAGCTCTTTGACTGACTGGGAAACTCAAGTGCTCTCTTTCCTACCCCTGCATTGCTCCTGAAACCTTAGAACCCACACATACACCACCTGAAGTGGAAATAAATCCCCTTACAACCACTTATTTCTGACTTCTTGATTTGTGCCACGATGAGCTGCAGCCAATGAATGGACAAAGTCAAAGTCCTGTTACACGGGCATACTGATAGTGCAGTGGTTAAATGGTTAGAACAAGTAGCCGGTTCGATTCCAGCTGTGGGCCTTTGTTACCAGTGACTAAGGGTATAATATGAAACAATCTAATAAAAACAAAAAGGTCTTGGTACCTTAGTGAAGTCAGCACAAAACTAACAAATTAGAATTAGAAATGAGATTACATCCCATGGCTTAGAATCAGTAGATCAAAAAAGGACACAGCAATAAAAAGAGATATGAGATGATAAAATAAAGCAAGAAAAAAAAAAAGGCTGCTGTGACTAATATTAATTCCGCTACTAATAAAATAAAAATGTTATCATTTAGTATTAAAAACAACACATTAATTTGAAAGTGTGGTGATAAAACATCTTAACAGAAGCAAGTAGTTGAATCACATGTGCCTGAGCTAGTGAATTACACATTGTACCAAGATAAAAACAAACTCTGAAAAAGAAAATCAGAGAAAAAGGTTGTGTGCATGTATAGTTGACCACATCAGGCCATACTTAAAGCTACAGGTGGGAGGACTAACTGGGTTGAACCAAGGCTTTCTTACTTCATGACTTTTAGACACAACTTCCATGGCCCTTTGAAACACACAAATCCACTGAAAGTGAAACCAAGTAATATTCAACACATTGCACAGGCGTGCAAAAAGACCATAACTAAACCAAACCACAGCCTGAGAAACAAAAGGACAGGTGGACAGAGTGACCACACTCAATTTGTCATCAGTGTAGATTTGATGAAGCTGAATTTAAAGTTGCTACAAGTTTGGTACAGAGGGCACTGTTCACTGCTGGGCACTACATGGCATCTCAGACACACACACACACACACACACACACACACACACCTGAGCTATGCGTTTATGGAGTGTCAACAACACACATCTACACCACAGAGACTGCTCTGCAGAGATTAACAAGTTCTGAAATCTTAATTAAGTTGAAGGAAAACAGGCACAACACGAACCTACAGTTACTATACTGCAGCGCTGGTATAGAAATAAAGGTCACAGATAAACACTTGCAATGGTTATACTTCAAATGAATCCACTAAACCATTATTGGTTAAGTGACCTCTAATAAGGATTAGGTGTTTTTTAGCAAACGGTTTCCTTTTAGATTCTCCTTAACATTCAAACCAACACATGTGCAAAGGTTACTCTGGATCTGTGATAACAGTTTATTAAAATTGTAAAATTCTATACATTTTATTATGTAATACAAAAAAAATTAATAAAAAAAAAATGATAGAAATTCTAAAATAAGGGTTTTAGTAAAATGTCCTCAGGGTCAATTATTACTCTTCTTTGATCTCATATGTGCAGACAAAGCAAACCATCCTTCTTGCTCTCTCTGCTTCTCCATCTGTTGTGGAAAAAGAAAATGTTTTGTATTCAAGTGATAAGGTGGGGAAACCCGAGCACATCCATGTAATAATCTACAGTTTGTGCGCATATACCTGTGTTTTTCCATCACAAATTTCTCCAAAACTGGAAGAAGGCACTTGAAAATCAGCACATCTGCAGCACAGAAATAAATGCATGTTAATCATAAGCCCTGTTCTCACTAACTAGAGTATAATCTTCTATTTGAGTGATTTTCAGGTAAAGGACTGTATCAAAAATTGTGAAAATATTAATGGACATGTCACTTGTTTTTTTTTTTTTCCTAGCCTCTTCTCATTCAAACATAATGAAAGTTTTAACTTTAATAACAAGAAATCATTTAACATGGTATGCTCTTTTCTTTACACCAGTGGATACTATCTGTCATCTTTAGTTTTTAATCACAATTTGCATTTGACTTTCAAGGTTAAACGAACACCTTAACCACAAGAGTGAAATATATTACCCGCCTCTATTTGAGGAGATAAGCTGCAGGATCTCTAATAGTGAGCACAGCTAGTATCAGTATTATAGTCAAAATTTGGTTTTAGTGCCTAAATGTTAACCTGCATACAATTTGGCTGATTAGCCAATACCACACAGGTGAATGTAAAATAACTTCCATTCTTCATCATCATGTACCAGTCCTCTCATCCAGCAGAGACTCACCGTCTTTCACCAGCATCAGTCTGTGAAGGCAGCAGCATGGACACCTCTGGACTTCCTCCTCCCACTAAGGATGACATGATACCATCAGTTTGTTACAGTGACAGGCAATTGAATACACAAATGGACAGTAAGACAAGTCAGACTGACCCACTGTACCTGCTGCATGTGCGGCTGAGGCAGACTGGGAGATGGGGGAGGCAGAGGGAGGAACTTTAGACATAACACTTTGCTTCTGTTGTTCAATAAGCTCCAGCAATTTCACCCTAGCAGCTGCATTCTGCCTATTCAGCTCAAGGAGGTGCTGCTCCAAGATGCTCACATTGAGGGTGTTAGGAGATGTCACCTAAGCAAGAAAACAGACACTAATCCTGTGTCAAAGTAGAATTTCAGCACTAAAACCCATTACTGGGGTGACCTGGTGGCTCAATGCAGTACTGTGACAACCTGGGCTTGGATTTGAAACAAGGAGATCTCTGCATGTTATTCATCTCTCTCTCGCAGTCTTTCCTGCGTTTCTAAATACCAAAAGATGAAAAGGACATTGATCTATCTATGATCAGTCCATATCTAAGACTTTTATGGATTTGGCAGAACTAGTCAAATAACCTCTCCACTATTTAGTTTAATGGAAAACATTACAAAACTTTAAAACATTAAATAAACATTTAAATTTCAAGCACATCAAGAAAGTCACTTGCTTTCTGCCAGAATTAGCATTTTTCTTCTTGTTTATTTTTAGCAAAGCAAACTTTATTTATAGTACAGTACTTTTATAAAGGTTAAAAAGTGCTTTACAACAAAAATCATCAAAAAACAAACAACTCACACTGTAGAAAAATCAACAGACTAAATCATTAAATAACCTACAAGGAAGTAAAACATTTCATATCATTAATTAGAATTTGTTAATTATAAAATACAAAACCTAATCCAAGCTGTAAAAGAGAATTGTAAGTTTCAGAAGAGTTTACATAGCATGACAAACTATTTCAGTCTCACCTGACAAGTCAGTTTTTGTTTTT